AAATTAACCTTTTTCAATTTAATGCAAGTTTTCTGTTCGGAAAACGTTCTACCACAACTTTCCAGTATTAAATTAGAAATTATTGGATCCTTTATAAAAAGGTCTTAAGAACATAGTGCAGGAGACTCATAATCTTTTCAACTTCATTTTATGGTATTTTTGTTGTCACAGTTAATAATATTTTTCGTGGTGAACCCCGGAGTTTTTATACGGTACGTATTATGGTATACCGTTGTCTGTCCGTCGTCAGCATGTCGGACAAAACTGAAAAAACGCTGTAACCAATTTACATGAAACTTCGTTGAATTTTTTTTATCTATTGAGGTATCCTCCCTTTCGAATTTTATAAATTTTAGATTTTACGTTTTCGAGTTATAGGATTTTATTAAACAAACTAGAGCCGAGCCTGTGTCGCTCACCTTGGTCTATGTGCTGCAGTGCATATTAAACAATGGACACTCTTCTACATTAAATACCAGAATATAATTCATGACAAAATTCTCTGTTTTTGGTGATGGTGACTTGTTTGTAGATCTTACTTTACTGAACAATCTTGCTGTTTACAGTTATCTCTATCTATAATGAACTTGTTCCATAAGTATTAGAGGGTGAAGATTTCTGTAAAAAATGTTTGCGTTGCACATGATCCGCTATCCTTAACATTAAAATACAGTTATTAAGCTGCTCAGATTGTGATCTGTTCAACAGCAATTAAAACTCTAGACGTATATATCCAGTGGCGTAGCTACCATTGACGCAACGACTCACTTGCGTGCACGAATGAAATGGCCCAAAAAAAAATCATAATTAAAAAATCATAGCAGTCAAAAAAAGAAAGAGTGCGATTGACTGTCACTTTATATATACATATGGGTGTTTCAACTTGTCAGAAAGGTTTCCGTGTTTTCTATCAGTTCAGTTTTGTTGTGCGTACATCGGTATATACAATTTTTAGACCATCTACTAATTTAGAACGAACTACGAGATCGTCTTGTCAATTCGGAAGAACGTTTTCTTACCCAGATGCTTCTTCCAAACAATCTGAAAAGTTTGAATCGGGACCATCAAATTCGCATATTTCGCGCCTGCGAGTCCGATCTTCAATAAGAATATCCGTTTCTTCTCAAATTAAAAGGTGGGTTGCGCGATGGGATATTTATCCATCTAAGAAACCAGACCATCTCTGTGCAACATTGAAGATGACGCCGAAAGAACTTTGCCCAAATATATTCTGTATTCTGCAAATACTTCTCACCATGCCACCCTCAACCTCTACTGCTGAACGCCCTTTCAGCGCTCTGAAACGCGTAAAAACGTATCTGAGATCGACTATGGGACAAGAAAGACTTTCTTCACTTGCACTGCTGCACGTTCATTCTGATTTTGACATTGACACTAAAGAAGTTATTGACACGTTTAACAATGCTAGGCAAATGAAAATGTTACTCTCCTAAAGGACCTCGGTTGTTAACTTCAGTCTTACATACGGTCTTACATACGAACGTCACATTTATATATCACCAAATTAAAAATTGATTGTTTGAATTGCTTTGTTTTCGTATGTTAACATATATGTCATGAGAGGATCCAGTTCTTTAGCCCTTTCTTTCTTTGAAGTATAATAAATTGGCGAGCATTGCAAAGTTTTTAGAATTTTTTAGTCAGTTTTAGGTCTTTGATTTGATATACTAGTATAGCAAAACACTCAACTGTGCATACTTCACTTCAAAATTAACCATCTTAGATCGAAAAAAGATTCATTTTCTGTAAAAAAGGGTCCAAAATTTTTGTTCGCCTAGCTCCGCTCGGCGAAATGTTTTTGCCTCGCTACGCTCGGCAACTTCTGCGTGCAGATCATTATTTGTCTAGCTACGCCACTGATATCTGAGCATCACGGGACGACACAATGTAAAAGTTAACGGACGATGACGGACAACGACGGACGCCAAGTTATGAGAAAAGTTCACTTGACCCTTTAGGGCCAGGTGAGCTAAAAAGGGGTGATTTTACAGTTTTCGGACAATATTTTTAAAATGCTTTGAGGAGTTTTCATGAAACTTTGGTGACTGCTTTATATAGATTAAGGTTAACTCCCTTTCAGTTTTTTTTTATAAATTTTTGATGACATTGAGAAATTATTTATAGGTTTCATAACGAGTGATAATGGATATCGCTTGATATCAACTCGAGTTATTTAATTTCAATATAATATTAAACGATGCTCCGGCGAGTTTGATATCAAGCGTATCATGCGCCCCTGGCGCAGCTGTTTATTAAAAAACGGAGTAAGAAACCTACTGGACAGCAGAGAAGAATAAAAAAAATGCATTTGTTTTTGTATTTCTATTTGTATCCATCTGATGAGTTAAGCCTTTTTCAACTGATTTTTATAGTTCGTTCTTATGTTGTACTGTTCCATCACTGTCCCAGGTTAGGGGAGGGTTGGGATCCCGCTAACATGTTTAACCCCGCCACATTCTGTATGTATGTGCCTGTACCAAGTCAGGAGCCTGTTATTCAGTGGTTGTCGTTTGTTGATGTGTACATATTTGTTTTTCGTTTATTTTTTTTACATAAATTAGGCCGTTAGCTTTCTCGTTTGAATTGTTTTACATTTGTCATTTCGAGGCCTTTTATATCATACTACGCGGTATGGCCTTTGCTCGTTGTTGAAGGCCGTACGGTGAGCTATAGTTGTTAATTTTTGTGTCATTTGGTCTCTTTTGGAGAGTTGTCTCATTATCTTCTTTTTTTATATGAAATAAAAAATATTCTACTAAAAGACACTTTATCCGACCAGTTTTTATTCCCATTGACAATAACATCTGAATTACATTTCTTATATAGTTAACAATGAAAAGAATAATTCATCAGCTTAATTCACTCTTTGTACGTACGTCTCAATCCAAATTGTCTATGCTTACATTAGATTGTTGACATCATGAATATATACTGTACATGTAATTTATAAGTTGTGACAAACAGAAATATATACAGATGGCTGATACTTGTTTATAAAGTCTAAGTGTTAGTACACCTTTATTAAACTGATGAATGCATTGGTTTCGTGCCTTAAAAAGTACATAATTTGAACCCTTTTTTATTGTTTTTAAACGTAAATACACTGACACACAACATTCTAAGCTATAGGAAATTTGTATAATCACTCGATAAAACAAGGACGCACTCGAAAAAGCCCGGACTGCTCTCGAAAAACCCGAACACATAGAAATGAATTTAGTCTCAAATATCGTTTTTCAATGCAACAACAAGAATTTTTGTAAAGTGTCTGTATATCTAAGAATATATGGATTCCATGTATGCATTTCCATCGACATTTGCATTGGTATGTGTTTTTTGGAATAAAAGCATTGTAAGGCTAAATTCAACTTTTTGAACGAAAAGTAATGTCGGATTGATAATATCTTTTTATTTCAAATACTAACACACCTTGTATATCCTTGTATATTAAACTCAAGCTTCTATATCACGTCTTTTCAGAAAGAAAGTCTGTTTGTTTACATTTTTGATCATATTCACTCGAAAAAAAGTGGTCACACTGGAAAAAAAAACCCGATCAAATTACTCGAAAAACCACGATCCTAGCCGGACACTATACCTACCGTGGTTCTAATCAAATGTAAACATGAAATGAACTGTCTTAAAAAAATCTTCTCACCTGTTTTGTTAACCTTGCTTACAACTTTGCTCTGTATTACTTGAAAAAAAATGGATGTTTTGACAGTAAGGGAATTTCTATATGAAGTTGGTCTTGAATTTGCAAGATTTGCTGACCATTTTACCGACATAAATTCACAAATGTAGCTTCTATTCGGTGTTTTAAAATTCCATATGATATTAATTATATAATTAGAAATGATTTGTCTCTTTGATCTAGTTGTACTGACGCTATGTCTGCTCAGATTTGATTCCTTTTTAAAGTCTGCGAGATATGGTAAAATTTTAAATTTCATTTCTGAAGATAAGCCTCATGATGGGATCAAAAACCTGTCTTCTCTTTTTAACGTTTCCCTTCATTTCCTCGACATTGCTTCCAAGTGGTAACATTGTTTAGGTATGGTTAATGAATATTGTACCCCACAATAAATAAAAATGAAATGTGCACTTTACTAACTGCTAACTTCTCCACTATATTCATCGTGCTTGCCGGACAAATTGTACAGTTGTGTTCACCCTACTTAGATTTCAAATACTACTAAAACCATTCATAAGCCTATCCCCACAAATATAAAGATGTACCAACTGTCTTCTTAAAACTTGCTCATTAAATGTCTTAAATCGTGACAATAAACACATTTATATATATAATATTATATTATTTGTTTAATCTATAATTCCGTACGACATCAAGATGCCTAGGCTCCATATCAACGAAAAAAGAATTTTATACATGCTTGTTTATGTACAATAGTTCAATTGGTCTTAAAATACATGCAATTGCAACTAGTCGTTTATTTGAAGTGGATCTACTGAAATTCAAAGCATTTTAATTTTTAAATTTAGATATCAAATTCACTATTGACGGAAATTTAAGTATTTATTGACAAAGACAACATTGATTTCATTCACGGGAAAAAAATATTTTTCTGTTCTTTTATTGATAATTATTCGATATTTAAGCAGTCAAACACTATGCAATTTAAGAAATGATAAGTAGGCCGATCTGAAATTCAGTGTTTAAGAGACTTTCAAAACTTTTCAATTCATTACTGTACATGTTACTTTGAGATAATTCTTATGTTTTTGTATTTCTTCAATGTGATTCGTGCAACGTTATTGTTTAAAATTACAATGCTTTGTACATAAATTACGATTATGTTACAAAACTTAATTTTCGAAAAATTCTACTGTAGTAAAATAGTTAACGAGAAATGTTTATTAAATTGACCTACTTCCAACTAAAATATATTTTTGGAACTGCAGTCTTCCATATAAGTAACTTGGAACAATACATACATTGGTATTATTATTTGTGTGCGTATTGCCATGATTAAGTAGTAAAACTTGAATCTTGTGATAGACAGCAAACTAATTCTTTGAAATATCTGTAAGTTCACTTTTATCCTCTGCCTTGTAGCTATTTAGGTATCATAATTTATATAATTTACTCCGTAATAACTTGTATAATGTTTACAAATGTACGCGCTGATGTTCAATTCGTTTTGTTTCAGATATAAACAATTAAAATATTGACCATCTAGATAGATTGGAGAATGTCAAAAGTTGCCGCCGAACCTGGACCATCCAAATCCGGCACACAGGAGAAATCGAAGTAAGTGTTTCTTTATCACAATTGAATAACATTGTAAAATGTGGCACGTTGAAATGATTACTAACGGTAGCATGTGCATTGAGTATAATAAATCATTTTTACCTAATTAAATAATTGTTGGATGATTTTAAAGTTCTCATTATAGTCTATCTTTATTTGCAATAGAATATTAATCCAAAGAAAGTCTGATACGTTTGGAGGAAACTTTATATGTGTAAGGCTATACAGACCCCGATCCTTTACCGTTGTCTACGGAACGAAAACGGAAATGCGTCAACCTTGAATTATTACCATATATTTACCACAGGCATCTGCGTAAAAGATATTTTGCTATTTCATACTCTTATCTATATTATCTGTGTACAAATTTAAAAATGACAAGGGCTATAGTTCTGGCCGGCCGAAAATTAGTCAAATTGTCTATTCTTCCGTTCATTCACAGTTAAAAATGCGGTCATGTACTTTAAGAACTAGTCAGTTGAATGCATTTAGGATAATCATAGCTTTTCTAATTATGGTCTTTGACATTTTCATGAAAAAAGATTAAAAAAATAATTGTTTTCACGTTGTCAAAAGTTTTGATCTTGTCACAAAGTTTTATTTAATTGAAAGCATCTGTTTGATTTTTTTTAAACAGAGCATCAAAAAAATGTTTAGGTAGTATTACTTTATATAGGTTACAACATAACGTTTTAAGAGTTTCATGGTACACATCAATAAGACAACGTCCCGAAGACATAAAAATAAAATACATACGACATTTACCAATAGACTTTTAGTAATTTCTATAGAACTGGTCAGGGTCAAAGTAAAATCGTTCCCAGTTTAAAAAACTGTAACTATATAAGTTATGTTTAACATTCAACCCTACTTCTCGTTATCTCGATCAATCGATAAACAGCAGTCATATGGAAAAAAGTATTGCAACTTTGAATATATATAAACACTCCTCAACAGTATCAGTTATTAGTAATAAATTATCCAAACCAAGAAGTCGAAAAATATTTTAATAATTTCACTGCAGCGACGGAATAATGAAAAGTACATGTAAATGCTGCATTTACCCCTATCAAAACAATAAAACATAGCCTTATCGTGTTTTAGTTATTTGCTATTCTGATATTTCCAAGTACTTTTAGAAGGTAGGGTATTTTCGACTGATTTATAAACAGATTGAGGCAAAACAATGTTGTACATGTATCTTTTAAATTGATGTATTGTACACATATTTACTTTGATCATTGCTGTGGTATTATCATTTTCCATAGTTTATGTTGTAGCTGCATAATTTTAATTTGAAGGTTCAGCGGCCGATATAAGTGTTATATGTAGCGATAATTTCTCTTTTATCAGATATAGCTAGCTTTTTAAGGTCTTTCCACTCCGTTAGGAAAGACCTTATTGTTTTTCTAATGTTTTTTTTTTTTTTTTTTTTTTCTTTTTTTTCTTCCAACATTTTTTTTACCTGCCCTCCCCTCGTTTCTATTAGAGTTATCAAGACCAAATATGGACCATCGATAGACCTTATCATGAAGTATTACCAGATGACCCTGTTAAGGATTCATCATCTCCTTTAGAAGTTATCTCCCTTTTATTGGGTTTTTTCAACATGGCCCCCTTTCGTTGTTTTTAAAGATATCATGACCTTATTTGTACAATAGATAGATCTTATCATGATGTATTACCATATTAGGTTGCGTAGGATTTCATCATCCCCTTTGAGAGTTATATCCCCTTGAAGTAATTTCTTTTATTTGCATTTTTCTTAAAAAGTATTAAAGATAGAATCGAATTGAAAATGGCAGCATGTACAAGAACAGATGGCAATGTTAATAAACATAAACAATTAGTTTGTTATTTACCCTTATAAGGAGTTATTTCCCTTGAAAAATTATACACAATTTTTGAAAAATTCTATTTCGAGAACCGGAAGTCGTAGAGACTTGGGACCTCCACCAATAATCTTTTTTTCATGTGACCTTTAATTTGCACCCAAGGTCAAAGGTCACTGAGTGCAAAAAAAATTTACGCTGCAATTTCAAGCTTACATATTAAATAAACGATAAGAGTTTGCTGCATACATTCTGTGTATAAAATGTTCCTCTCGACAACCTCTACATTTTATACATTAAGCTCAAAACTGTCCGACCGTCTGTTCAAAAGTTACGACAAGATAAATCTTAAAAGTATAGTATTGTGTGTATATCTTTTTAAAGGTAACATATATCAACCTACTATAAATTGCAAAAATGATCAGCATTTTAAGACCTTCAGTTTGAGGTCAATGTCAGGTCATAATGAAATTTTAATTTGACCTTCAAAGTGTACTATGACCTTGACCTTGTGACATTTGAAAGGTCAAGTGGTCCTGAGTTGAATGGTGGTAGTCCCATGTCTGTACGACTTCCGGTTCTCAAGTTTGGTATTGCATCATATATTTGATGATTCATTGTGACCTTGATGAACTTTGAAATTGTCCCAAATTTTTTTTGCAATGTTGCCCTTCAACTGCAGATCATTTATCATTTAACAGATTTGAGATATCTATTGTCGTTTTAGAGATAATGCGGTTTGAAATTTTGCGAGCGGAGGCATGTATTTCTGATTCAACAACAGCTTTCCACCTGAAATTTTCAGAAATTAAAGACTTAAACATGGTCATATGTTTGACTAATTACCAGAAACTTTCAATGAAAAAATCCAAAAAAAAATCAATTTGAAATTTTCATCTTTTACATTGACTTTGTAAGTTTCATAAGTTCTATTTATATAATTGATATTGCATCATTTTTGGCACTTTGCCAAATGCGGTCATTATTTATATCAAATTGAAGGTCTTAATGAGCTCTACTCAAAAATGAAAATTTCAAACCCCTTTTTCATCCCAGTGGGAAGGGTGGGGTCATTTAGTGCAAAAAATTCAAACTTCTCAGATGGTTAGGTTGTCGCATATCAAATGAAAGTCCATAAAGCGTACATTTCAAATATCAAATTGACGTCCCCAAAAAATGGGTTGGGTGGGGTCATTGAGTGCAGAAAATAAATTGTCTTCTAAGGTAAGGTTGTTGTATATCAAATGAAAGGTCATAATGTGTACATTCCAAATATCAAATTCCTGTCCTCCAAAAATGAGGTGGATGGGGTTATTAAGTGCAAAAATCAAACTTTCTAGAACATGGCGTTGTCGCATATCATATGAAAGATCATCAAGTCTACATTACATATATCATAATTCCGATATCAAAAATGTAGGCGGATGGGGTCATTAAGTGTAAAAAGTGAAAATTTTCAGAAGGTATGCTTGTTGTATATCAAATGAAAGGTCTTAAAGAGTACATTACAAAAACATCACTTTTACAGGAAAGACCTTTCAATTGTTTTACAAACAATTGAGATACTAGTTATATCTTAATGTTTCTATCTATTCAGATATAACTTAAGGTGTTGATACGGCATATAGCTGATCTTGTAATCATTGTTAAATGTATTATACTCAATTGAAACATATTTCGAACCTGTATTGCTTTCCAGCTTGATATATATGGCTTTTGTCAGAGATAACATGTATCTGTTTATCCAAAACTGTCGTTTTATTTCATTTACCAAATCAATTTATATCCAATTTGAAAAGTGTCAAACCAACAAAATGTAAAAATGTGAGAGAAAAAACTTTATTTTACATAGGTCTAAATTACTTGTAATTAAAAAATGAGGAGATATGTCAATTAGAAAACTATCCATTAATATCAAAGGTTGTTTTGTATTGGCAGTCAACGTGGTCATAGTCATTTCTCAAACAATCGTTATTGGTGATAAAATTTGAAGGAAGACTTAACCTATTTCACATGCAATTCATTGATTATGCTCCTACATATAAACATGTATATAGATACGACTATTCGATAATACAATACATGTAATGTAAGGAACATTACATTTATATAGAACAATCATATCTATATACAAAAAATTCATGTTTATATGTAGAAATGATGCATTTTTTGCATTGTTCTTACATGTTTATTGCTTAGCTTGTTAAACCTTTGAATTGTCTTCGTACCGTATCGACTAAAGATAAATTGTGTTATCAATACTTTCCGAACAAGACAGTTTCATGGATGTGCTTTATAACACTACAGCTTTTTAATGATATACTAATGTAATGTGTATAATTCTTTCGAAAACAAGAAACAATCATTACTTATTAATAGGGATGTTTACGTACTTGTGTCAACCAAAGAATCAAACAAAGACACAACCAAAGTGTATAGCGAAATATACAATACTATTCGAAAGTCTACGGGAGCTACTTCTGACAACCAAGACAGGTCCTTGCCAGGACTTGTTCTATCAGTCATAGGAGATTCCGAAAGTTATGTTCCAAAATCATGGAATACAACAGAATTTGAGTCGGGGCTACTTCAGACCGTCAAAGGGGCAAAGGGTAAGTAAATTATGACTTATTGTAACGTTGTTTCGTTTAAAGTAATTCAGACTAGTGTCAAACAATTTTTTAATGCTTATGTATAACTTATTATTGTAATTCTGTGGCATTTTGACCTTTCTGGACCCATTGTTTAATTAAAAAAAATCTACGTGTGGTTTATCAGTTCTCTGGATAAATCGAAATGGGCTAAAAGGTGTTAGAGATATATAACAAACTTATGTAATGGAAAAACAAACGATGTATGACGTAGAAATCAGGAATGTGGAAAACACTCGAAAGGCTTTTCGTTTATCTAAAATGAACATTTTTTACATAGTTACCCGTGGATCACCGGATTTGTCCAATCTCGATAACTTTATCCGAGGCTTGGACTTTAAAATTCGATAATTCAACTATTTCGATTGGATAAATCCGATTGTCCACTGATACAAATGTAAGAATCTATATTTATTAACTCTAAGTATCAACATAAGATGCATATAAATAAGGTATCAGAGACGAACCCATTATCAATTAACTTTATATATTAATGAGTATACAAAAGCCTTATCAATAATGCGTAATATCTAAGTTAAAAGTTTAACGACTTTAATTTATTAAAAGGACGCTATGGTATTGCTCACAACGGTTTCATTGTAGAAAGCTGGATTATATATAGAGGTAAAAAAGATGGCGTTAGTTCTCTGGTAGATATGGCTTTTAAAGGCAGCACATTAGTGGACGACAACGATAAGAATCAAGACAATGAGACAAATTGCAGAAACCAGAAAGTAACGTTAGTTGCAATCAAACCATGTAATGAAACGGAGGATAAAACATGCAAGGTTACACTTATTGAAAAAATATTTTGTTTTGTTATGAATGTTTTCTATTTGCTACATGTATTATAAAACTTCGAAAGGAGTGGAAAATGCGCTCATTATGATATAGGTATCGCGGCTACCAATATTTTATAAGAGTGTTAAATGATTCTGACAGGCTGGTCTGGCTCCAAACTTATTAGGCATACATCAAAAACTAGAAATCGGCCAGAAATTTCTTTGAAATTGAAAGGGGTATCCAATATTTCAATACTTCAGATGGGGGGCATCGAAAAAATTTCCCAAGATTTGGGTAATTCTTAATTTGTATTTCAAACAAGCAAACAGTAAAGTTAATTTGATAATACTCTAAATCAGTATCTACTTATTCAGCAGAAGTGTGTAACACTTAATTCAGATGTCATATCTATATATCTTGTGTCATCGTCATTTTTGGCTTCAAACTTCATTTCAATGGTTTATTCATGTGAGCCATGACCACCTTCTGTTCGTTTGTTTGACATGACGAATGGCAATAATAAGTAATAATGGTTTAAGGGAAAACTGTTTCAGATGGTGTCACCAACAAACAAGTTGACGTCTAAATATAAATATAAATTGTGTAAAACCTGATTTAAGATGACCCGTAAATATTGGGTTATTTTTCTCAGCAATCAAAAAGTGTGCATATATCTATTAATTATTGTTTGTATGGTTGAGGAATAATTGCAAATGATTCTGAAAATTAGAATGTTTGTTATAGCCCAGAGGATATAAGAATAATTTATCACTTTATAGTGAAATCATGAAACTTGGCATAGTGAAAGATTAAGGGGTATAAACAAAATTCAGATATTGAGCCACGAAAAAAAAAATCAATATGGCCGACAAATTAGTTTCCCAACATAAAGTACTGGGAATTATTACAACACCATACTCTTGATGAAGTCAACTAATCTGCCAAACAGTTGATATCGCAAAATTAAAGAAATGCAACTAAGATATGTCAATTATTATTTTTAATTGTTTATAAATTCTTATTAATCGAAATGGAGTCCAAATCAAAAATGGCAGCGTCAAAAATGTCAAGAGTTTGACGTTAATATATATACACCATTAATGTGGTATAGAAAGTTAACACATTTGGTAAGCTGATCATGTGATGAAGACACAGGCCTATAATGTATTAAATATACCAGGGAAATAGATTATGTTTTCTAAATGGCGACACCATTCAAAATGTCACCATAAAAAATGTAAAAATGTTACTTTTTTATATAATGTGGGATTTAAATGGTACAAAAATAATGAACATTTATTTGGATACAAATGCATACCAATATATATTTTTTGTAAGAGGTGGCATAAACTATGAAATAAAAATGGTCAATACAATTTAAATTGCGTCTCTGACAAGGACTTAATTTACACAGTTAAAGTTAATGTTTACATGACTTCAGAACATCTTTTAATTTACTAGCATGAAAAATATGTTTGAAACCCTACAAAGACAAGTATTTATTTTTTCAAAATGTGAGCGAAAATAAAAATGGCGCCTCAAAAGTAACTAATTGGCATAACAACTTTATAGAAAAAGTTCAAGTCACTTATAGATGAGAGAATATCCAAATTTAAGATAATAAACATTTAGCACAGTCTCAAGGAGTTTCTCACAGTCTTGTGAACAGTTACATAATAAATGTTTTGCATTTCAATGTTGCTTTCATGCATTTACATACCCCCTCGACATCCATCGTACAACCATAGTGGATCAGCTCTTGGCATTGTATTGACCATAATGGTACCAATGCACTACCAACTTGTTTCCATCCAAATAAATCTGGTGATGGCATGACATGATTTGCAACGAAACAATTACTCTCAAATAACACTACCTTGGTAAGCTATATGTTTCGTATGTTGTACAGTTGTTCTTGTCTTCTATTGTCCAACGCCTACGTCCAATAAGTTAGTACAATTGATCACTTTGCGGTAAAAGCATGAAAAAGCGTTAATTATGATGCTTATAAACATTTTTTGATATTGGGCCATCTAAAAAGCTGGCCTTTCGTCAAAATGTCTAGATAATTTGTCGCTTCTAACAAATGTCCAACCTATAGTGTCTTCTGTTATTTTTGGTGGATCTGCATGTTCTGTATATTGGAAAAGATGGACAAAGATTTGACATTGGGTTTGACAAGAACGTTGACAAAAGCTTAAAAGCGTATACTTGAAAATAAGGGTTTCAAAGATGAGTTCAAGATGAATCTATTGTACCTCAGAATCTGTAAAATCTAATCTAAATATAATATTACAATCTAAAATAAATGTACATTCAGATTGTTCTCGTCAACAAATTGCTCTTAAAAGCAAACATTATATTTTTCTGCAGAAAGAAAATGGCAGATGGACTTTTCAGCTCAAACTAAGAGTGGCATCAACAAGTGATGCAAAAAATAAACAGAACCCCAATGAAAATTGTCTAAATAACAAAAAGGAGTTTAAATGGTTCAACAACTACTTAGCTAATCTACTATCAGAGTTATCAAGACAGTATACACCCTTACTGACCAATAAAAGTAAAGGTAAAATATCATTTATGCACAGATCGATAATTGTTGTTATAAATTATCTTTTTTTCTAGAACAGATTTCAAACAGGAAAATAAACAAACGTATCCTAAGACCATCCAAACGTTGCACGTTTTAATTGACTGGCAAACAGAACATAATGTTAATTTGCAATGTCGAATAAACAGAGTGAATAACTACCTGCAATGCTTAAGATATATAAGATTTACATATCGATATAAAATATGTTTGATGATTAATAATTTACATCAAGTTTTCTTCTATAAAGACCAAATTGAATGTAATATGACAACTCGGAGCACTTATTACAATTTGGGAGAGATGTGGCAAATGCAATACTGAACATTAATATATGTTTTATTTTTTGATTACACAAAAACTATTTGTTGCCTACAATGTAAAGAAAGTTAATTTAACAATCCTCGACACGGATTACCTTACCTGAATCATCCAACCATATTGCAGACTTATTACATTAATCAAAACAAACTTAACTATTACAAATGATTTGTAAACTATATATACTAATTACACCTTATGTAAGAATCCTGGGTTTTGATTGGTTGATAGCCAGTGTATTTTTCACCAGTTTACTTTTATCAAATGAATTTCGTTCATTTTTAAACAGCGCCGGGGTATATGCAAAAAGGATATGCCCTTTTTACCCTCTCTGCCGTGGTATTTGCCAAAAATACTCTATCCGACTGGACGCTTGTAATGTCACGATCATCAATGCGTTTTATGTCACGATCATCAATGCGTTTTGTACGTTAACATTCGGTGTAATTAAACAGATATAGCATGTTCCTGAGGGGTATTTGCGAAAAATACCAGTCTTGAGAATGAATTTCCCTCGCCTTACGGCTCGCGAAATTTAACATTCTCTCGACTGATATTTTTCGCAAATACCCCTCCTTAACATGATATATCTGTTCAAAATCCTTGCTATTTCCAATAAGTTAATGATAAGCTTAATTGATATAGATTTTTAAACTACACATAACCCCGTAAAATATCGTTTCATCTCGGCCCCTAGTAAGGTTTTTTCAACCAATCTTTCATTGCTTTTTTAAAACTAGTTAGTTAACTACTCTTAAAGCACTTATCATTAACGTTTATATCAAGGATTTGTTTAGTCTTACTTTATAAATCCTTATTTATATTAAGGCATTTTTAGAAGAGAGGAATTATTATCAAACAAATGTTTCCCTTTTTTCTAAATTTATCTGCTACAACTCATGCTAATACAAAAATAAGGAGATGTGGTATGATTGCAAATGAGACAACTATCACCAAAGTTCAAATGAAGTGGATGTAAGCCTATTTTTGTAACGAAAAAATTAAATATGCTAGATATTATTACTAGAAGTCCGATGATTAAAGCTGGATATTTTTTCCTGGTCTATATCTATGTACGTTTCGGCAATAAAGTGTATAGACAGATTGTATTTATTCCAATGGACATTAATTGCGCCCCTTTAATAGAAGACTTTATCCTGTATGGTTATGATTCACAGGTGTTCTTCGGCTGTTTTCTGCTCTTTGGTCGGGTTGTTGTCTCTTTGACACATTCTCTGTTTCCATTCTTATTTTTTATTCACAGTGTAGGGTCAAACTTAGTTAAGACCCAACAAAACTATATTTAACCGATATATTCAATAACACTTATCGTTATCTTGATGATATTTTGTCGTTAAATAATCAAGAAATCTCTAAATGTCTTCTCAAAATTTACCCCAAGAAAACTTAATTTGAATCAACCAAATATACACAGCAATAACAGTTACTGTTCTTTCCTAGATTTGGATATTTCAGTTTTACATAGAAAACTCTACACAAAAATGTACGACAAGAAAAACGAATTTTTCTATATTGTTAATTTTGTCTTTTTGGACAGTGTTGATCATTTGGCTCCTTCTTACGGTGTTTATATATCACAACTCCTTCGATATTCTCGTGTCTGAAGTGACTTTGTTTCAATAGATGTAATCAATGTATTAATAGTATATTACTTTCTCTTATGGTTGTTGCCTGTTATCTATTTCTTGCATGTAGATATATTTCTTTCATTACACTGCACGTAATGTGATACGAAAAAGTTAATTGGATTGGCCTATTCAGCATCATGAGACGATATTACGACATTTCCATTGAATATTCGTTATGTTATTGGTAACTTCAAAGGTTAAGACGATGTACATTTCGTCCGTGGAAACGGACATATGTGATTTCTTCAATAATATACAAAACACTCACACTTTTCACCTGAAAATCTTCGTTTTGTCAAGTTTTATTACAATCTGAAGCGTACAAATAGTTTTAAAATGTCCGATGTTAAAGTATGTGCAAAAGACTAGATCAACGATTTTTAATTCAACACAATGAAAGTGTTGACCATTAGAGAAATAGGTTTATCAACTTGTGAGAATTGGATATCGCTTGATATTTAATTTAAATAGTAATAATAAACTCGCCGAAGGCTCGTTTATTATTATATTGAAATTAAATAACTCGAGTTGATATAAAGCGATATCCAATTCTTTCTCGTTATGAAACATATAATTATTACGTCAAGGATGTCGTTATCGCACATTACTTATTGCTCATTGTTGAAGTCTGTACGATAACCCATTGTTGCTATATTTCGACGTCATTTTGGGCTATGGTGGCGAGTTGTCTCATTGACAATCATTCCACATCGTATTTTATATATTAAAAAATCCAAAAAAAAACTCATTTTTTTATGTTAAAAAAACGTGGAATCAGAACTCTTGCTTGCGATTACTGTAGTCAATGTAAAAGTGTAACGCTGACTGCCAAAATAAAATTAAACTATCGGTAGGTTAAGTACGGGAGGAAAGTTTTTCAGGGTTCTTTTTTTTTATCATTAATAAGCTCCTGTCCAAGTTTCATAGTTTTCCATTAAGAGTTGACGACAACGACGAAATAAGGGCTCGCTAACTATTGCCACCGTGTCGTTGCTGCAGGCTCGACAACAAAACTTTCTTTTCATAATGATTAGAAACGGAAAGAAAACATCTATAAGTACAAACAGAAATTAATAAAAAAAAAATCAAAATCTAGAAACCCGATCGCACGACTTAGCCTTACAAGTTGTCTTTAAAATGGCATTAAAAGTCTTAGAAAATAACAAGTTGTGCCAATAAAAGTGGTTTGATAACTGGTGTCGCTAGTTTCTAAGAATGGTCATATTTAGATATAAGAAGATGTGGTATGATTGCCAATGAGACAACTCTCCATCCAAGTCAAAATTTATAAAAGTAAACCATTATAGCCAAAGTACGGTCTTCAACACGGAGCCTTGGCTCACACTGAACAGCAAGCTATAAAGGGCCCCAAAACTACTAGTGTAAAACTATTCAAACGGGAATACCAACGGTCTAATCTATATAAAAAACGAGTAACGAGAAACACTTATGAACCACATCAACAAACGACAACTACTGAACATCAGTATCCTGACTTAGGACAGGTGCAAACAATTGCAGCGGGTTTACCAAACCTTCACCCTTATCTGAAACAATAGTGTAACATCACAACATAGAAAGACACACTATAAAATATCAATTGAAATGGCATAACTCAATCAAAAGACATATTAACACCAGTGAACATACACTGCTTTTCAAACTCGTCCAAAGTGTTTTTGAATTGATCCGACTTGTCTTTGGTCTGAGATTCCTGAAACCACAAAATTCACCATGAACAAGTTATTTGCATTGAGCATTATAAAAACTAGATGCTTGATACTGCACAGTATATATCACCATGTACTTAAACTATGTCAAAATGCGTTACATATAATGAAAACATTTGATTTTCTTTTTTATCTTTACTGTTATTAAGGCTGATATCGTTATATTTTGATTTGTGTAACATATTGTCAGGACGTGATTTGTTTGTCTCTCACGATTTGAGTATGAATCAAGCATCCAACTTATTAAGTAAAGTCTGTATTTAAGAAAGTTTTAACCTATAATACTCAATCTTTAACCTTATCTTACAACTCATTCGTCTTGGAACAGCTGTTTATTATAACTGCCTTTGAGTGTCCTAACTTGACTATCAATTGACACTTGTTGTACATTTTCAATATTTGCAGTCGTTCTTAACATGAGAGTTCCAGTGGTAATTATTGCAGTAGAAGGTGACGTCACTACTGTCCATCAAATACAGTCGTCTATTCAAAGAAAAGTACCAGTCCTTTTAGTAAAAGGTTCGGGCAAAGCAGTAGATTGTATTATTGAATTCATAAAAGAAACATCTTGCAGGTCAGTTAATCTTGATGCACAGTACTATAGAAAATGCCTTAGGTAAACGTTAACGAAGGATTATTTCGATAGGGAGAACATTGTGAACCCGGAGACAAGACATAAATACTCTTTCCTAATGTGGTAAGGTTATTATGTCTTAAATACAAACATGCATTTATATAAAGCCGTAAAGGGTCTGTGAATATTCTCTGTATATACAATCTAACATTCCTCTTGCTATAGTTTAAAACATTTGACCTTTCTACCCTTTACATAAGTATTCCCTATTCCAAGCTAAAAGACAAATTAAACTCGTTGGTCCTACTTTGTTTCAGACAAAAATGATGAACGTAGATACAAGTAGGATGGATAGATCGTAATGTGTATAAATTCATTCTGATTCAAACAAATAATTCGCAAAAACTGACATTATTCAGAAGTTTGATTTCTTGATTGACAACGTATTTGTAACGTTTGGAGGACGTGTTTTTCAACAAACATTCGTCATTTCCATGGGAACTAATTGTATTCTTCTGTCCGACTTGTTCCTTTATTCATAAAAGACGTACTCAATACAGAAGCTTTTTTTTTGAATAATGAAAAGAAGCTAGCATTGTCCTTTTACTTCACATTCCGGTATATAGATGATGTCCTCTCACTTAATAATTCGAAATTTAGATACAGTTAAGTCTGCCTAATATTTTGTCTTACATCTTGAGATTTACTATGATGGTCGGTTGAGAACAAACCTTTGCGACACAGAAGATGATATTGGCTTCCCATTTCTATGTAGCAACTTTCGAGCAGCGCCTCCATATGACGTATATATCTCCCAGTTGATGCGATATTCCAGAGCTTGCATTTCCTATTATGATATCCTTGTGACAGATGATTGCTACTTACATGTACCAGGAAGATATTAAACGAAGAGTTCTACATGTAAGTGGTGAAATTGAAATCATCCTTCGACATTTTGGTTTAAACAATATTTTATTCGATAAGTCAAATCATGCTATATAATATAATACAGTATAAACAATGGGATCCAGAAACAAGCAACATTGCTTATTTTAATCTGTCTCCAAAAGAATATTGACATACAATATAATGAATACTTGGAGCATGCTCTGACATTTTATGGTCGCCATCACGAGGAGTTGAGTGACCGTTATGGGATATCTGTTTTACAGATGACGACGGATATGTTCCAATTGTCGTAGCAACAATCCCGTCGTTGTGATCTACCAAACTAGACTTGGTTTTCCAGTTTTTATTTTTACACTAGTAATTTTTGGGGTCCTTTATAGCTTGCTGTTCGGTGTGAGCCAAGGCTCCGTGTTGAAGACCGTACTTTGACCTATAATGGTTTACTTTTATAAATTTTGACTTGGATGGAGAGTTGTCTCATTGGCACTCATACCACATCTTCTTATATCTATTTATAACCGGTTTTTGACGGGGCGAGCAATTCAACGGGTGCCACAAGTTGGACAGGATGTGCTCGTCCTTCCGGAGAACCTGAAATAACCGCCAGTTGTTGGTGGTCTTCGTGTTGCTCAGTCTTTAGTTTTGTATGTTGCGTTTTGTTTTGTGTACTGCTGTTTGTCTTTTCGTCTGATTACAGCATAAAAATTTTCTGAAACTGCAATCACCATATGCTTGGTGTTAAATTGACAACATAGTATACATGTATCTTATACTGTGATTCATAAGACAACAAGAATACTTATAATTCATCGATTGAATCCTGTGTATGAAGCTGACCAAAACTAGTCCTAAATGCCTTTTTCAATTGATAATCATTCTCGGTTAAATAGGCAGTTTTAGCTGTTCTTATAACTTCGTGTATGTCCTCCTGCATGCGTCCGACTACGGTAAACTTCCGCATTTAGTATATTTATGGTCCCAATTTTATATCTCAGTCAAGCCAATAGAACTTAGACAATTCAATAAACAAGGGCCAACAACATGTACGGTAAGTCAATGCAATGATTCTATGGTTTCATCTGACATTGACCTTATCTTTATAGATTTTTGATAATAGGAAGTTTATGTGATACTGTAGTAAAACGTTATTTCATAAACATAAATTCAACCATGGTCAGCTTTGCAGGCGAAACACTCCTATATTCCAATATTGTCCTAATCTAAAACATAGTTTTAAAAGATTTCCCCTACTTTGGAGAATTTAAGGATAGGCAAGAGACTGTCACCAATCCACTGTTGTATGATGCGTAGTTACCTAAAATGATTTAATAACGAATTTGACAGAGGTAAGACCGATTTTGTTTCTTACTGGTGCAGACAACTGTTGACCCTGCTTGAGCACCTGCATTTACTCTAAAGACTAGGTTTTTGGTCGGGTTCATGTTCTTAAGTATGTTTTGTATTATTTTATCTGTTGTATTTTGTCGTTTAATTTCGCTCATGTTTTTTTTTTTCTTTTATTAATGAGGTTTCTAATCATCTCATGTGAAGTAACATAGTTAGTTACCTTTATTCAATTATTCTCTCATATCATTGGTGCGTGTATTTACATTTTTGACAAAACCAATAAAGCTCTAGAATAACTGCATTTAGTGAGAAAGACAGAATTTTAGCTGAAAATGCTGCTTTATTACTTGGAATTTACATAAACAGTGAAGAATATGAAAATTTAAAGAAGATGATGGAAGAAATAGAGAAATATCGTTACCTGGTAAGAAAAGATATTGAGCTAAGGCTTAATTTCATAAAATATTTTAGATACTATCAAAAGTAGTGTGACAGAGGACGGATAGTGATATTGGTGGTCTTATGTCACAGAGTTAGTTATCCCTTGTTTGGATGTCTCGGCTCTCAAAATATGAAAAAGGGGGCTTAGGTTCGACGAGACAGTAATCTATCAACGAAAATCACACAAGATTACTAGAGGTCAACTAACGGTCGAAGTGTTTTTAACGTTTCAGATTAACGAATATGTTACTACATTGTATCACTTGCCCTTTGTAGATTATTTCTCCAAAATACATCGACATTGACATTTTTAATACTTTTATTTAATGTTTAAAAACAGTTTTGGTATATAGCTCGTCATATATTACTAGCCTTTTGTCTCCACCTTTTAGTGCACGTACATAAATGCTGATAAGGTAAACATGACAATAGCAGTAACAAAACTGAATATAAAAGTTCATTCGATACAGTTTTTTTCTTCAAGCATAGTCTAAACCGATGAAAATAAACGTGTTTGTAAATTGTGCAGTTCGTTGATGGTTTCCTTGTTATTTCAAGCCAACATATCTGGAAACACAATGATTAGATTTTGTATTTCTAGATATTTTGGCTTCAAGTAACATTAAACAAAAGTTTAACAAATTATGCAAATATAACTGCAAAATAGGTATTGATTGATATATGTCTTTTATTTGAACTAAACATAATATTAAAAGGAAACCTTGCCCATACCGAATCTGCAGTAATCAAGAAAAGCCTTAAGGTCGTACAAAAAAAAAGATTTTTGGAGGCAAATGTTTTGTACAGTAAATCTGTTTCTGGGAAATATATGTATTAATGATTTCAAGTTGATAATATTCTAGGTAACAATTTTTGACTTGCACAGCAAAAATGGCGGAAAAATGGAAGACGCAATTGTAAAAGCAATTCTTAAAGGATGGTCTCTTCAAGGAGTACACGGTATGGTATACAAATTAATCAAATAGATATAAGAAGATGTGGTATGAGTGCCAATGAGACAACTCTCCATCCAAGTCAAAATTTATAAAAGTAAACCATTATAGGTCACAGTACGGTCTTTAACACGGAGCCTTGGCTCACACCGAACAGTAAGCTATAAAGGGCCCCAAAAAATTACTAGTGTAAAACCATTCAAACGAGAAAACCAACGGTCTAATCTATATAAAAAACGAGAAACGAGAAACACTTATGAACCACATCAACAGTATACATTATAAAGTCGAGAGATTTCTTTCATTCAGACCTGTTATCATCTGTTAAAAAACTTCTTAAATGATAGCCTTATTTTTCTATTATCGTGTTGCCCAAAATTTTGAATTGTTGCACTGTATAGCAGAGTTATTTCAAATAACTGACAAATAAAAAAGATCTTTCGGTTTTTTTTTCTGTTGAATATTTCCAAGATCGCCGAAAATATATTTGAAACATCAAAATAAACTGATTGATAAGGTTTGCGTATACGTAATTAGGGATATACAATTTTACTTTGAGTCGTTTTACATCGATGTTTAAACTTGATTAATTCTTGTTTATGTAGCACAAACATCACATACTGAGAGCCCACAGCCACTTACCAGATTTGAAACTTGGATACCAAATGATCAAGATAAACTTGATAAAGGTATTAACAATGTAGGCTAAGCTAAAAAAAAGATACAAAGTTTAAAAATACGTTTAAAAAGTCAACAACAAAACATTGTAAATGTGGACATGTTAATCATTTTAACTTTTGACTATCAATACACTGTTAATCAAACAAAAAATTGAAGAAAAACTTTCAATACCAATGGAAATATTTGGTGCAATAATGACATTTTTCACCGACATTTGTATGAGCAACATGGCGGGTGTCATATGTCAGGATGTTCTTATCCTTCAAGAGCACCTGTGATCACCGCAGTGATTTGATGGGGTTCGCGTTGTTTAGTTTTCTTGTTTTATTTGTTGTGTTTTGTGTACTATTATTTTTTTTGTCGTTTTTTGATTTTGTGCCATTGCATTGTAAGTTTGTTTTCGTATTATGACTTTAAATATTCCTTCGGTAACTTTCACCTCTCTTTGACATTTGCTCACAATTTATTTTAATCGTTGACAATTTTTGAGAACACTAAACTGGTTGAATTGTTACGCTGTATGATTTAAATTAGATAACTGACAGATGAAATTGATCTATCGGTTGTAAAATATTATTCAGTTGATCCATGTTACCAAGATTGCGAGTGATGATTTCAGCTACACATTTTTATGTAGAAACATTCCAGCAGCTCCAACATATAGAGTATTTATCTCCCAGTTGATCAGATACTCCAGAGCTTCCATTTCTTATGATTTCATTGAAACGAAAGAGGGTTGCTGCTTACAAGGAAGCTATTAAACCAAGAGTTCCATGGTGTGAAGTTGAATTCATCACTTCGATAATTTAACGAAGGATATCACGAGTTGGTCGATCGTTAAGAAATATTTGTTTCACATATGACAACGGATATGTTTCAATTGTCATAAGCACAAAACCGATTTGTTTTCCTCGAATTTGACCCACCGCATAAAGTTTGTCACCTTTGTTGTATCTACACGAGATACACCACAGGTACCACATGTGATGCAGGATCTGCTTACCCTTTTAGCGCACCTTAGATCACTCCTTGTTTTTGTAGGGTTTGTGTTGCTCAGTCTTTGGCTGATTATGCTGTGTTTAGTAGACTGCTGTTTGTCTTTGGTCGATTTTCGTCTTTTTTTTTTGCCATGGCATTTTCAGTTTGTTTTCAACTTATGACTTTACTATCCTTTGTGTATCTTCTGCCTCTCTTCTATAACGAGTGAACTAGATAAACAGTATTCCAGAAGACCGTGTCGTGTCCACTGTTATCGAAAGCATATGTTTAGTCATTACTTAAAAAAATTATGTGTATTAAATATCAAATAATATTTTTCCTTAACTTGTTTCAACTAGGTATTGCAAACTCGGAAAAGGGGATACTTGAACTAAATTCTCCTGTGAAGAACATTTATGGTGTGTATTTATATGATGTAATGCATGCAATGAATTATATATCAAAAACAGATAATGGCTCTGCAAACTATGCACTTTCTTAATTTGATTAAAGGGAAATGTAAAGTCCATTTTATAAAACAATTACCTAATTAACAACACACATCTAGAGGACACAAATAATTAGAAGTATATTTAATACAACATTGTATTGTGTGTCTGTCATGATATATTAATCTTTTGTTGTTTTATTTTGTTAGTTTTTGTTTGTAAGTCTTGTTATGTGTTTGGCGGAGTCAGGTTTTGGTGATTGGCTTGGTCCGTTGTGCGGTCCAATATTTTTGGTGTTTCGTAGTATCCTTTGCAAGTACCATTAATAATTCATGTCCAGCTCTATATCGCCGAGAGTTAAATAGACTCAATGGAATATAGAATTTCAAAGATCTGTTCTCAACACAAAATTCCCTAAAACGTGCCTAAAACAGATTAATGAAATATATTCAAAGAAAGTTGAGGAACATCTACGGGTACCTGCTGTATAAAACGCCATGTTCTCCTTTCAACTTTATCCCAAAATATAGGGTTAGGACTTCATATGGCAAGGCGCCATAACACGGTTAAGCCCAGTTGATACACCAATTATAGTCACAGTTGCTTCATCTGCTAAGAAATCAGTCCCCAGCGAATAAAGACATAATCCGCGCTCGTCAGTCTTACCTGCAGAAAGCACAATATCAGTTAAAATTTCAAAATTGAAAGATGCATATTGTAACATTTTCAATCAAATTATATTGCAATATGATGTAATACTGCAGTGGTCCACTATGACTATATTTCGCCGTATTTATTTCTAAATTCATAAAATTATCTACGGAAACGTTTTAGTATTAATGTGTACTTTGAAGAAAAGTCTTTGATTCAGACGGTTCTACTCTTCGTAATAATTAGAACCATGACATACATTGCATTATGACTTATACGTTACACTTTTAAAAACAAAAGCATATCTACAAATGATATCAAACGATGCGAATTTTATTTTAATTAGTGTTTCTTATATTCCACAGACATGGACAATATGACGAATGCGAAGCCTATGTCACCAGTTATAGTTCCAAATAACAACGAGATAACATCAAGTACAAGGACGACGCCTTCAATCAATATTATTAAAGCAACTGGTTTGTAAAAAAAATATTTTCAAAATACAGTTAACACATCTCCGTGATTAGAATTACCTTTTTAAAAGCATATACCTACTTTGCCAAACTATTTTGATACTTTTAATGTCTGTTTTATTGTTCAAAATGACAAATAGATCACACCCAAGTAATATAAAAATAAGGAGATGAGGTATGATTGCCAATGAAACAACTATCCACCAAGGATCAAATAAAGTGGATGTAAGCAATCATAGGCAACCATACGGCCTTCAACAATGAGAAAAACCCATACCGTATAGTCGGCTATAAAAGACCCGACATGAAAAAATTAAACAATTCAATTGAGAAAGCTAACGGCCTAATTCATAACGAAACAGTGAACGAAAAACAAAATGACAGACATGAACCAACGACAATCACTGAACTACAGGCTCTTGACTTGGGACAGGCACATAAAGAATGTAGCGGGGTTAAACATTTTTGTGAGCGCTCAACACGTCTTAAACCTGGGACAGTGATGTAACAGCACAACATAAGAACAAACTATAAAAATCATTTGAAAAAGGCCGAACTCATCAGATCGATGCAAAGCAGAAAAGCATCAAACATTAACACAAATCAGTCTACAAAAATTAGATAAATGTGTTGTTTGACGTCTTTGTATTTAACAAAGGAGCATGTATTAAATGCAGGGTTAAAAATAGATTAATAGTTTGTGAAATAGATCGATTTGCTTTTCAACTGTTTCGGTTCTTATGCATCCTTGCAATTGGCTTTCAAATATTCGGTTTTGACCTTTCCTGGACATGGTTAGTCCACAAAAGCGTTTCTATTCATTTTTTTTAATTGCTTTTTTTGGGGGGGGAGGCGGGTTATATGTATTAAGAAGTACGTAATTATGAGGAACATGGAAGGATTTATTTAGTAATTTTCGATAATTTTCACGTTTTCGAAATTTAACTTAACAGAAATAAGTGAATTTATTGTTAATGCCTTAACAACATTTCAAATAAAATGGGTGTATATTAACAAAAATGAGCCTGTTTATAAATTTAACACAGTTTATGACTAATCTTAAGAGACGTTAAGGTCAATTCAACACATTTTTGGGGAAAAAGGATTTTTGATCCTATATCTTAGGGAATTTGTTTAGGTTGTTATGTTTTCCTGTTCATCAGTATTATATATGAGTTTCTTGTAAAAATATTACATTAATTATACATTAGACCAAAAATGCCACCTTTTTCAAAAGGTCTGGTATAGAGTTACAACATGACAAATTAAATGAAATTTATGGGAGGCCAAAAACGGCCCTTATCACCCCTGGTCTATCCAATAAAACCTAATAGGTGAGTCTTTTTGTACACACAACATATAGAATATCCATCACGCGATATTTAGAATTACTAAAAGTCATCCGATAAACAAATGTAGTACGTCAGTCGAGCGTTTGTCTTAATAAGACATTTCCTATGCACATGGACTAACATAATTGGAAGGCAATTATGATAAAGACTATCATCACTAATGGAATTCAAAACAAAATGAAATTCAGAAATTCATAAACGTTTTGAGTTTTCTGGCCGAGGGCATCAATGGTATGCTCAAAATCTAACGATTACATTTTAACTGTGCAAGCTGTATTCGGTCTTCATTTGGACCAACGTCAATGAGACAGCACCACTAAAAGAATATTCCGGTTTTACAAAATAAGTTATAATTTGAAAATATGAAGATCAAATAAATGTAGTAATGGAATTTTATTTTCAATGATATGTTTTATATTTCACAGAAGATATTAAGAACGTCCCACCTGTATTACATGCAATCGTTATAAAAACAAACGAGACTTCTAACGAGAAAGAACAAAAAACACAACACTCTACTACATCGAATGGCAAAACTGGTATGTACTAGATAAATGATAAAAAATACAGAAAAAATTATACACAAGAGATAAGTTCATTACATTATTATCTATAACCTTTTATTCGATCAAATGGTGCTGTATCCGGTAACAACGTCTCTGAGACAGCAACCATAGAAGAATATTCCGATTTTGCATAAATAGGTTTTTGAAAATATGAATACAAAAAATATACCAAAAAAGGTAAAACAAAAATACTGAACTACAAGGTACATTTAAAAAGAGTAAGTCCATAAAACTGACGAAACGTTATCAATCAACAGAACGAGTGAAAAACAACTGTCTTATTTTTTACTCGGAACAGACATTTTCCGAATAACATCATGGGTTTAACCTGGTGTTATAGCAAGCTAAATCTCCCACCTGTATATCAGTTGTTTATGGGTTCGTTATATTGACGAAATTGTGTGACCAACCCAAACAGACATAATAAGTAAATGTGACAATACATATAAAGAAAGCAATCTAATTTTCAATGATTTGTATTTGTATATTACACAGGAGAGGATAAGAATGCAAACGTTACAAATGAGGCTTCCCACGGGAAAGACAAAACAGGTACGTACTAGCTAAATGATAAAAAATAAAGAAAAATTAAACACAAGAAATAAATTCATTACATTAATCTAAAACCTTTTATTCAATCAAATGTTGCTGTATCCGGTATAACTATGGAACATCGTCTTTGAGACAGCAACCATAGAAGAATATTCCGATTTTGCAAAAATAGTTTTTTGACAATATGAAGATAAAAATATATATAGCAAAACATTATAACAAAAATACCGAACTACATGGTAAATTCAAAAAGGGGAAGTCCATAAAACTGACAAACTCATGCGTTATCAATCAACGGAACGATTGAAAAACAACTGTCACATTCCTGACTTGGTACAGGTATTTTCCGAAGAAGATGATGGGTTACCTGGTCTTATTGCAAGCTAAACTTTCACGTGTATGACAGTTGTTTCTAGTTCCGTTATATTAACAAAATTGGGTTACCAACCCAAACAGGCATAATAGGTAAATGTGACAATAATTTGGATCCAGCAGCCAAAATTGTGTAAACATACACCAATAAAGGGTTCAAACATTCAAACAAAGCAATTTAAATTTCAATGACTTGTATTTGTATTAAATAAAGGCAACAGTAGTAACACAGAAGAGGATACGAATGCAAAGGTTGCAAATGAGACTTCTTCTAACGGGATAGAACAAACATCAAAAAACTCTACTACATTGAATGTTGTTGACAAAACTGGTATGTACTAAATAAATGACAAAAACGCAAGGACTACGTTCATTACATCATAACCCAAAACCTTGTTATCAATTAATTGTCCTGTTCTCATCAATTGTTCATGGTAAATCTTAGAAACAAGAAATTTCCTACCACCAAATAAAATCTTCTACAACATTTCAGAAATTATTTTTTCTTAACATATTGCAAGACTAATATTTTATCGCTATTATCAAAGTGTTTTTTTTTTCAAAAAAGGGAAAATCGTCTTTGAGTTTAATATATGACTTTTTTTTCTAAAACTACTTTTTTACAGAAATGGGCTTGCCGGGAGGAATTCCCTAATATTGCAAAAAATCCTACATTTAAACTACATAAAATATTTGAACAAAAAATATGTTACAAAATTGACAATTCCAATTGGTGGTAAAATTTTCTTACAAAAGGTTGAACGTAAGCTTGAAAATTGTTGTATTATGGCTTTGGGAATCAACAGCTTGTAAACATGAGGTTAGTTTTTTTGTTATCCAGAAATGTCGAAGTTTTTATTTCACAGCCATTTACAGAAATGTTAAAAGTTCAGATACGACATTTTGGACGCAAGCATTTCAACCAAATTTTCAAAGTCTGTTTCTGAGATTTTTGTCTGTTGAAATATTAGTAGTTTACTATATTTTGGAAGCCCATCGAATGATTATTCGATTGGAAAAAAGATCGAGAACATATTGGAGTTTACACCGGATTTTTCCTTCGTTCTTTTTAAAACCAATAGAAACGAGTGTTTTTCTATGAAACATCTTTCAGTGAAAGGTTTTCTGGGTTATTTAATGTTTCTGCTTTTTTTCTCATCATCTTCAGATTTTGTAATTTCCCTATCCTGAGAAAAAAAGTATATATCTTTAGAAGATCAGACTCACCTCAATCGTATAAATGAGGCAATAGACAATACAAGTGTCAAATGAAACTGTATTGTTGTAGACCGTTCCATGAAAGCATGCATCTCTCATATATTTAACATTGCTGAATATGATATCTCATAAAATTTTTATATATAATATAAAATCTTCGTTGGAATCACAATATTTCATTCGCTTTTTCTATGACGTGAATAAAATTGAATGTCGGCATAACTAGACAACAACACAATAGATCCACAGTCCGTTTCAAAGATCTCTATGTTACATTCTGTTTTGCACACCTAAAGATAATGCATTGCAGAATGTAATACTAGTTGACTTTTTGTTTAAATTTTCTTTCGTGGACTTCATTTGAATATCAGCAATCAATACGATCAAACTGTTTGGTATGAAAACAAGAAATCCACCCGAAACTCAATATTATCTATTGGTTCTCTTTCGAAATGAGTAACAGCCGATTATCATTTTAAAACGAGAAATGCTTTTCAAGATGAGTTGTGCAAGTGTAAAATAAAAGATGCAAGTGTTAACGGACCACACTATCATTCATCACATTAAGTCTTACTTATGATACTAGAGGCAAAAATAAACGAACTTATTACAGCTACGACAAGAACCAAATCTAGAGCCTAAAATTGATACGTAAATCAATGCAAGATTTTGAGCATTTCGAATGATTTTTCAGGTTGTCCTGCCAGACAAATATCCGAATTTGTATAGAGAATATGGTTCTTGTTCTTTTTAAACTACAACAAAATATCAATTATTCCCATTTGTGTTCTTATGACATGGTTAATCTTACAGTTTTAATGTTTTATTTCAATTCTATTAATACTCGACGTACTTTGATAGCAATGTAATAAAATTGTCCAATTTGGTTTCTAGGTGCAGAAAAACTTAAAACCTTAAACGAATTGTATCCGCTTATTCTCACGCCTGGATCATTGTCGCTTTACTTTTACATAGTATACCAATATATCAAAGAGAGTGAACATTTAACAGAAAAAGATAAGGTAAGATAAAAAAGGATGAAAGAGAAATTTAGAGAAAAACGGATAACGCAATAAATATTAATTCAACTCCATGATTAACGACCCAGCGTTTGAAAAACAAAACAATATTAAATACAATACAAACAGGTAAATCAGTAAGTGTAGGCAACAGTACAAAACATGTAATTCTTGTTCTTTCATTTAGATTCTTTGGTTCAAAAATTGCAACTAATTAGGTTAGGTTGTATTTCAAATCATCTGCTTTCGGTATCAATGTATCACATAGTTATGTATTATTAGAAGTGGATATTTCCATCTTGACATTCCTTAATAAACATAATTATGCGGAGGTGTGTGTATACTGTTTATGGTTTCAGTAAATTCGTATGAATTCATAGCTATTAACCATTTTTTCATGGTACATGTATAAGATCGACAGATGAAAAATTAGTTTCTTTGTGTTTTTTTTTTATTACTAGAGAGGGGGTTGCTGCTATTCAGCTTTGACATTTACATCTGTACAATAGTCTAAGACGATACATTTATCTTTGATATCTATAATTGAAAATAAAACATAACCTACCTCAAAAACGCCTTTGAGATTTAAGCCCAATCAAATTCGTACAAGTATTAAAAGATATAACAGTATGTTTGAAAGTTTCCATTTGGTGTTTATTTAGCTGTGAAACAATGCACAAATGACGAATTCGTCCATTTCATAAGGAAGACGACAAAATTATATGATTTACAAACACCATTTCTTTCGTATAAATACAGTTTAGAAATAAAACAAATTTCATTTCTTTTAATTATTTAGTGTTTTAGATATTTAACTGTCCTGACTAGCCCTTGAATAGGCTAAGTATTCACAAGGAAAGCAAAACTTATCATAGGCCTGGTTATGATTACTTTAGGTTAACTTCAGTTAAAATGTTTAACTGCTTAGAACATTCGCTGAAAAGGGAAAAAAAAAATAACTAACGAGTCTTAGATGTAATTTTGAACACCAGAACGGTAAATTTATTTTCATCGAAGTTTACTTTGGACACAGCAGATCGATCATCGTTAACGCTGTGACGAAACCAGTTCTGACTTAAACACAATACTTGTAGAAATGTCTAATTTTAAAATTCAATTGTTTACTTTACATGGCCTATTTCAACAGTTATTATGTCTTTCTGGTACTGATTACATGTCTACAACAAATGCTGAAATGTAATACAAATCTTGAGATATAATTTCGTATCTAATTTGTGAATTGATAATCATTGGTAACAAGTGATACAAAATGTTTCACTGTGCGTATAGAATATGTGATGTTTCGAGGAAATAAAATACATACTTTTTTGGGTAAATCAGTTTTCCCTGAATGTAAGTTGCCATAAACAGCAGTAAAAAGTAAAATAACAAAAATACCGTACTCCAGTGGTAAAGGTGCTCTACAGGTTGTCAGGATCTGATTACTCTTCTGGAGCATCTGAGATTATCTCCGATGTTGATGGTGTTTGGGTTGCTTAACCTTTAGGAACAGCCAAACTTAAAACCAAACAATTGTATTGATGAAAGAATATATTGAATGTTTTAAGTAATTTATGGTTATGAAAGACCTACACTATTGAATGCCAGGAATGTATAAATACAAATACACGTTAAGAAGTAGATATAAAAAAAGAAGATGTGGTATGATTGCCAATGAGACAACTCTCCACAAGAGACCAAATAACACAGAAATTAACAACTCTAGGTCTTCGTCCGGCTTTTAACAATGTGTAAGGTCCATACCGCAAAATCAGCTATAAAAGTCCGCGAATTGACAATGTTAACTAATTCAAACGAGAAAAACTAATGGCCGCATTTATGTACAAAATAATGAACGAAAAAGAAATATGTAACACACCAACAAATGACAACCCTTGAATTAAAGGCTCCTAACTTTGGACAGGCACATACAGAATTGGGCGGGGTTTAACGTGTTTGTTGGCACTAAACCCTCTCTCTTACCTCGTACAGTGGTGAAACAGTACAACATAAGAATAACTATGCAAAACTATCAACGAAAAACAAATATGATAAACAACAAAACATGACAACCACTCAATTTCAGGCTCCTGATTTGGGACAAGCACATAAAGGATGTGGGGGGTTAAACTAGTTTGAAGGCGTCAACCCTCATGACAGGAAAAGTAAAACTTTGAATGAAAGAGTTATAACCTTATTTTTAATAATTTCTTCAATGATTAACGGAGAATTTTACAAACTAATGTTCTGTATCATATATCAGTCCCGAAGCACTGACTATTGGGATGATTTGACCTTTGTCGAGTAACAGTCCATCTGCAGTCGTATCAACCTATTTCTGGTAAATGAACATACATGTAATACTCTATGAATTTCGTACGTCTTTCAGGAATTTCCTTCATCAGGAACATTTGAAAGCCAGGATGTATAATAGCAAAGAAACGTTCAAAGTTTTTTAACAAAAAAGGGACATAAAGAGAATAGTCAAATTCCTATGGCGTCACCTTTAGTAATCTCTTGGGGATCAATTATCTCTTTTGAAAGCTGAATCTATAATCTATAACAATTTTTCTGAAAACAGGTGTTGTAAATGCGTGCAAAGAAAGATATGATATATTGTTACTTTTGTGTTTTGAGAGTTCGTATCAGTTTTTCTGTAGTTATTCATAGGTTCAAGTATATTTTGATGAACATTTAATGTACGTTTCGCATTAAGTTATTAGATGTACTAAAAACGTCCAATATGGCGCAACTATCTCATGTATTGTTATAAACGTTACCGTTGGGTCAATATTTTAAGCTTGTAGTCAAAAGTGTGCACTAATGTTTTCATAACTTCAAGAATTGATATGCCTAGATTGGGCCTAAATCCATCAATTGGAAACACAACTCAAAATACTGATTGATTCAGCCGGGAATTATGTCAGGCAATGGGTTATACTCGAGAAATCGTTTTTGTGTTTATATCACTTTACAAAACCTGCTTGATAAATGAATTAGGTATTGACAATTCACTTGAAATCTCAACATATCCCCCTACAACACTTACCAAGGAAGAGATCCTAGATAATCATAGGTCTGTTGTATGTTCTTTGGGAATTTCAACCAAAGATTGGAACTTTCTTCACTGTATTGAATACCTAAATTACAAACAACGTTATATTGCTGGATCTTCCAAGTGCTTTACGAAAGCTCTTCTTTAATTATGAACAGCAATTTTAAAAGCCGGGCTTTTTAGTTATTGTGAAACTACCTATTCTAGAGGTGGCTTGAATTGAGATGTGGATACTAAAAAAATCCTAAGATCTTCTAGAGTACATTCAATATAAGACTCTTTCATCTAGCAAATAGTATTAAACATTTGAATGTTCTACATCTAACACAAGTATTCCCTATTAAAAACTAAAAGACAAATTGAAAGAGTTGGTCCTGCTTTGCTTCATAAAAAAGAATGGCCAATGTAGATACAAGTGTCTTCTTTTTGGAAGAATTACATTTGGTAAATCATACTTTGTAAAAAATAACTCTGATTCTAACAAACAATCTCTGAAACTAACTTTATCACGTAGCTTCATTTTTTGATTGACAACATATCTTTTACGTTTGGAGGACGTGTTTTTCAACAGAAAATCGACACTAGGATGGAAACCAACACTTCTTGCCGACTTGTTCCTTATACTCATATGAGGCTGATTTCATACAGGAGCTTCTTAGGAAAAAACAAAAGAAGCAGTATCCTTTAACTTCACTTTCCGCTATATATATGAGATGTTCTCTCACTAAATAATTCAAAGTTTGGCGACTTTGATGAACGCATCCAACCCATCGAACTTGAGATAAAGGATACAACAGATACAAATAGGTATGCCTCATATTTCGACTTATATCTCAAAATTGACAATGAGGGTTGGTTGAAACAAAACATCACGGCAAAAGAGATAATTTCAGCTTCCCAATTGTGAACATTCCATTTCTATATAGCAACGTTCCAGCAGCGCCTGCATACGGAATATATATCACCCAGTTGATACGATATTCCAGGGCTTGTATGTCCTATAATGATTTCCTTGAGAGGTTTGCTGCTGACAAGGAAGCTTTAAAACCAAGTGTTCCAATTGGTGAAGTTTAAGTCATCTCTTTAAATTTTACGGACGCCAACACGAGTTGGTTGACTGTTTGTACTTACACGAGCAACACGGCCGGTACCACATGTGGAACAGGTCTGCTTACCTTTCCGGAGCACCCCTGATTTTGTTGAGGTTCGTGTTGATCAGTCTTTAGTTCTCTAGTATACTGTGTTTTGCGTACTGTTGTTTGTCTTTTTGTCTTTCCTTTTTTGACTCGGTGTTGTCAGTTTATTATAGACTTATTAATTTGAATGTCTCTTTGGTGTCTTTGCTCTTTTATATTAGTATGTCCGTCTTTTTTATAAATTGTGTTGTTCAGGGAAATACTGTAAACCGGGAAATTTTCGCGCCGTCTTTATTTCGCGATTTGCCAAGTCAATCTAGATTCGCGCCGTTTTGAATTCGCGATTTTCCGATGTCCAGAAAAAAAAATTATTTAAATTTTAAAACTACATACTTGTTTGTGTACCGTTAATTAGTGAACGATTTTAACCATGTCCGTCGGTAGTAACTTAATCTGATATCGATCAATAACTTGTTTGGACGAGTGAATAGTTTTCATTTGTAAATAAAAAATAAAATTTAAATACATTAGTTGTTTCTTAAGCTATCGTAGTGGAAAGATGTATAAATTTCTGATTAAAACTTCATCACCGAGGCCTCCTTTACTTCCGAAAACGGACAATCTGGCATTTCAAAGTGCAAATACAGAGGTTGAAAATATCTTAGTAGACAATTCACCTGTTGGTAAAGGTGGCACAAAACGTAAACGGGGAAATTACAATAATTATTCACCAGAGGTTCGAGCTAAAATGGCAAAATATGCAATTGAAAATGGTGTGCAAAATACTGCAAGGAAATTTACAACTGATCTTGGAAGTCCTGTGAATGAATCAACTATTCGGAGCATAAAGTCTTCATATATAAGACGTGGGTTACATAAACAATTTGAAAATGCGGCCGAACTTCCTAAAAAAGATCGTGGTAGACCTCTTCTTCTTGGGAAGTATGATGCAGAGTTGCTGGATTATATAAAAAGCATACGAGAATTCGGTGGTATAGTTAATAATCAAATAGTTATTTCGTCTGCATAGAAACATTGTAAATGTATGTAAATATATCAGTAGTTATCAAAGGTACCAGGATTATAATTTAATACGCCAGACGCGCGTTAAGTCTTCCTAAGACTCATCAGTGACGCTCAGATCTAAATAGTTATATAGCCAAACCAGTACAAAGTTGAAGAGCATTGAGGACCCAAAATTCCAAAAAGTTGTGCCAAATACGGCTAAGGTAATCTATTCCTGGGATGAGAAAATCCTTAGATTTACGAAAAATTTAAAGTTTTGTCAACAGGAAATTTACTTAAATGACCATATAATTGATATTCATGTCAACACCGAAGTGCTGACTACTGGGCTGGTGATACCCTCGGGGACGAAACGTCCACCAGCAGTGGCATCGACCCAGTTGTATAAATAGTTATCAAAGGTACCAGGATTATAATTTAATACGCCAGACGCGCTTTCGTCTTCCTAAGACTCATTAGTGACGCTCAGATCTAAATAGTTATAAAGCCAAACCAGTACAAAGTTGAAGAGCATTGAGGACCCAAATTTCCAAAAAGTTGTGCCAAATACAGCTAAGGTAATCTTTTCCTGGTATAAGAAAATCCTTAGATTTACGAAACATTTTAAGTTTTGTCAACAGGAAATTTACTAAACATATAATTGATATTCACCGAAGTGCTGACTACTGGGATGGTGATACTCTCGGGGACGAAACGTCCACCACCAGTGGCATCGACCCAGTGGTATAAATAGTTCATCTGTTCCAGAGGTTCTACAGTTATTAATAAACGTATCATTTTCTACTATGAATCATGTATTCACGCAACCAACGCTAAGAGAAACAAAACTTCAGAATTGACAACCGTAGTAATTTAACCCTCGTACTCGTAGTTACAAGTTTTATGAGAGTTTTATTTGATTTGAGACTATATAAGACTTTTTACCACAAACTACTTCAAACCTATACTAAATTCTTCCATAGATACAAAGATTTGGTTTTGAAGTTTGATTTATCCTGTAAAAAACTTATTTCAGACGGGATAGCACATCCTAATTGTTGCGGAGATGTTGTTTATCGAGCCCGGAAAGTTAGAAACGTTCCTGGTCAACTTATCGATCCTTTAAATAAATCTATTCTAAAAGGTTACCAATTCAACACTATAATTAGATCTTGGAATATTGTTTTTATTGGAATTCATATTGATTTTGTTATCAGTAAATTGAAATCAAACTAAATATTATTTTTATATACATATGCACATTCGTGGGTTTACAATCTATCGATACCTTTATCTTGGCATTGCACAAGGTCATGTTTTTCTCTGTTTATGACGTCTTTGCACTAAATCCATTGGATGTGTGATGTGTACTGATTGATATTTTAGTCTAAGATGCATGTTTTTTTTTTATTAGTTCTTATTGGCTTTGAACTAGGTGTCAGTACTCTCATATCTGTAATTAGTGTTTTTTCGTTGTGGGGATGTATAAGTTCCCTGACACGTCCAATCTATGTTTTTGTTAGATGTATTTCTATTTGTATCCATCTGATGAATTAAGCTTTTTTCAACCGATTTTTATAGTTTGTTCTGATGTTGGCAGTCAAAATTCTACTTCGTCAAAATTTTCTCCCAATTACGCCAGTCAATTTTTACAATCGTAAAAATGGAAGAATTGTAGGGATGACACGCTATCAATTAAGCTCTTGAAAACCGATAAATTTATCCACATAGCACCTATATGATCCTTATAAGCCAGTTGTATTTTAAAAGACAAATGTATCTACTAGCTATTGAGTATCATTTAATGTACTTTTCTTCATTCAGGCATCTTAAAACTGTTATCTGATCGGTTGTCAGGTGGAATTTTCAAAAGTTAAAAACTATTCAAAAAAATTCTAATTAAATATTTCGAGGAAGGGCAGACTAAAAAAAAATTAGATGTTGAAGACTAATAACCCTAGATAACATACACAAAAAAATGAAGCTTTTATGAAGTTACGCATTTTTAAGATCGAGTTGGAAAGTCTGTCGTCAAGTACTTTTAGTAAAAATTAGTAATTCGAACACACCAACTCTGTTGTTATGACTCATTAGAAAGGTATTTCACTTGACCCATATATTTCATTTTTTAGTACTATGAATTTATAATGTTATTGAATCAACATGTAGCCTTAATAGATAAAAATAATAGCATCTGAAGCGAGGTGATGTATCAAATATATTTGCTTTATCCGTTTTCAAGACAGAATAGTCAACTCAAACACGCCCGAACATAAAAAGGTGCACTCGACTTTCTGTTTTCGATGCAATTATTGCCCATTTTGGGGATTTTTTCCCCAAAATCTATCGCCGGGGGTAGAGATGCAAATTAATGTTTTAGAAAGATCAATCTATTATCTTTCTGTGAATTTGTTTTCGGTGGAATTTATGCTTATGCACAAAAAAGATCCACTAGCATTTGAACCTGCCACAATCGAATGTTTTATGAAAATGTATTTATAATTTCAAAGTTTACAAATATCTCGAAGCTCCATACTATAATTTAAGTAAAAACACGTATATAAGGTGCATCAAATCCAAATTATGCACCTGTATTAAACTTTTAAAGCCTATAGAAACAAACGTAAACAATTCAACACGACGGGTGCCACATGTGGAGCAGGATCTGCTTAACCTTCTGGAGCCCCTGGGATCACCCCCAGTTTTTGGTGGGGTTCGTGTTGCTTAGTCTTTATTTTTCTATGTTGTGTCATCTGTACTATTATTTGTCTGTTTGTCTTTTTATTTTTGGCCATGGCGTTGTCAGTTTGTTTTCGATCTATGAGTTTGACTGTCCCTCTGGTATCTTTCGTCCCTCTTTCATAAATACCAAGTTTGCTTTTTTTACCTTCTCAAACAAAGAGTTCTGTTTCTTTTGTTTGATTTCAACTTGGATTCCGCCTGTTTTACTGTTACACCACTATTCCAGGTTAGGAGGAAGGTAGCGCCTTCAAACGAGTTCAACCCCGCCACATTCTATATGTGCTTGTCCAACGTCAAGAGCCTGTAATTGAGTGGTTGTCGCTTAATGCTGTTTTTATATTTGTTGTTCCCTTATTGTTTTGTATAGTTTGTTCTTGTATTGTGTCTTTGTACCACTGTCCCATATTAGGGGGAGGGTTTGGCTGCAACAAACTGGTTTAAACCTGACACATTCTGTATGTGCCTGTCCCAAGTCTGGAGCCGGTAATTCATTGGTTGTCGTTTGTTGCTGTGTAACATATTTGTTTTTCGTTAATTATTTTGTACATAAATTATGCCGTTAATTTTCTCATTTGAATTGTTTTACATTTGTCTTTTCGGGCCCATTTTAAGCTGACTATGCAGTATTGATTTTAATCATTGTTGAATGCCCTACGGTTACTTATAGGTGTTAATTTCTTAGTCATTTGGTCTCTTATTGAGGATTGTCGCATTGCCAATCATACCACATCTTCTCATTTTTATAATTAGTAAGAAACGGAAATTACGATAAAATTGGAAAGAAGCAATATTGAACAGTTGTTACTCTCATACGCTATCAAGCTTATCATTCCCATATAATGGATAACCATATGACATATTGTACATCCTACTTCGCTGACAATAGCTATGAGTGAGAGGCAACAATAGTTTACCGATGTTCAGTTGTCATAAATACATACAGAAAATACAACAAAATATAAGGAAATCGCATGAATGAATACTTGAGGGATTTCAATATAGTGTTTTATGATAATATTCTGCAAAGCAGTTTAAATGTTTGCACCAAGTAAAATTTGTTCATGTGTGACACCTATAAACCGTGTCTTAATTCAGTCACTGTAAAACTTAAACCTAGAAAAAATGCCAATATTGTTTTTGTTGAAGTAATAAGATGGCTACAGCAATGTCGGCTTATGTGACATGATTAAGTTGCTTAATATTCAACTTGAGGTACATTACATTTTAAGTTTACAGAACAGATCAGTAATAATATTACCTTAGCAAGTTGTGTAACTCATCGATTGAAGCAAACCAGGTATTGAATTAAATTAGCTAAAACTTGTATTTAACAATTGTTTACATTGTGCTATATACCTAGATTTTATAACCTTTTTTACATTTTAAAGGATTGGCAAGTGCTTCTTCTTCATGCAATTATTGCTGATCGAGATGATTATGTATCGTCATTGATTCAACATGGGGTAACATTCGATCATAACAATATAGACACTCTTTATAGCGAGGTATGGTTAGATATATCTCTTTTCTTATTTTTTATTGATCATTTTGTGCTCAAACTGTGCATACATAAATTGTTACAAGACATAAGTGAATAAAATTAATGACATTCTTATAATTGTTATTTTGCGACAAAGAAATAGTAAAAATTTACAAGTCTACGATGTGAATATATAGTATATGATACATCTTAAGAATACTTTGGAGTTCATTAAATATACAATCATATTCAAAATAAATTAAATAAATTCCATAAATCGACCCATCTGTCGACAAATAACTCGTGTTTGTCTTTAGAAAGATATAAATATTCTAAAATTTCCAAAAGTCTTTTCAAAAATTTAAGGAAGGCTTGCACAGATATTAACAGTCTGTCTAATTGTGTGATCTTTACATAATTAATGTAATACTTTGCCTGTAGAATACAATAATTTAAAACTAAGTTATCAGAATTCAAAACACCAAAAATAACACTGTCTTTACTCAAAAATAGTCTTACTCCAAAAAAAAAATACCACCAATAAGAAAATTCTTTCCAAAATTGTTTTATTTCTGTACATTCAAAAAAATTATGCTCTATACTAGTAGTTTCTATCTCTTTACAACTGGTTCATTCATTAGTTTCAGAAAGTTTATATTTTTCAAGAAGATAATTATGAGAGACTATTCTCTGTAAAATTTTGGAAGGCATGTAGTTTGCTTTCTATAGTACATTTAAAGGCCAGTGAATAAATATTTTTTCCATTTTTTATCACTAATTTCTGTATTAAAACTTTCTTCTCAACTTTGTCGTGAAATAGAAGAAACATTTCCCTGATCGATAAAAAGTGAATAAACATCTTTAGCAAATAATTAACTGAAAGGCATTTTTTATTCTCATGCTCAAAAACAAATCCAAATGAGCTGCTGTTAGGTGACATGTGTTGCTGTATTACCAAATCTTTCCAGTCACGTGGTATAGCAAGTTTAATGGATAGAATGTCTAAAAAAGTAACATTCAGGTTATATTTTTGGTTAATAGCGTCATGAGACAAAAATTCGCCATTGTCATCTACAATATCATTGATGAACCTTATGCCTTTCATGTACCAAGCTCTGTAAAAAATACTCGTTCTGTCAACTTTGATAAAAGGATTGAACCAAATAAATTCTTTTCTCACATGAAATGCATTTAACGGTTTGAAAAACTCCTTGAAACGTTTCCAAGCAGATAACACTCCTTTATAAAAAGGAGGTGCTTTTAAATTTAAAAACTCAAATTCACAACTGCTTATAATTAAATCCCCTGAATCAAAACGCTGGAAGAATGCCTTGGAAACATGTTTTCATTTGGAGTCATGATCATACAGAAATCTTTTTATCCACATAATACGAAAGGATAACAGCTGTTATTCAAAATTTGGGGCTTTCATTCCCCCCTCGCTAACAGACTTTTGAATAACTTCCGATTTAACTTTCGGAGTACCACTATTCCATAGAAAACTGTTAATATCACGTTGTATTTTAATTACGTAAGATTTTGGTACATGAGTAGAAGAAATGACATAAATAAGCTTCAATATTGCAAGTGATTCAAGAATTACAATTTTACCGATCAAGGAAAGGTTTCTGATCTTCCACATTTTAATTATTGATTCCATTTTTTCTATGCATGTATCTAAATTAGAACTTTTTTCTATGCATGCATCTAAATCAGAACTAACCATTTCTTCGAAAGCATTAAATTTTAAACCTAAGGTTTTAAAACCAACTGTGAATTTAATGGGAAGTGCACTTTCTTTGGTGAATGTATTTCTTCCAATCCATGTTGCTTCGGTTTTAGAAAAAAATAACTTTTATCCCTGAACACTTCTCAAAATCGTTTAAAGAATCCAATAAAATTTGCGCAAAAAATACATCTTTCAGAAAACAAGTGGTATCATCAGCCAACTGTGAAATTTTTATTTCAGTGTCTCCAATTTTTACACCAGATATCTGATTATTCTTACGAATACTTATTGCAAGTAGTTCCGCGACCAAATTAATAAAATAGGAGACAAAGGACACCCTTGTCGAACACCTCTCTCAATTTTGAACGGAATAGAACTAAATCCATTATTAACGACAAGACTAGATATATTTGAGTATAAAGTTGAGACCCATTTCCGGAACTTGTTACCAAAATTAAAACAAACCAATGCTTTTTGAATAAATTTCCATTCTAGCATATCAAACGCCTTTTCAAAATCGACTAGTAATATATGACCTGGCTAGCGTTTCACAAAAAATCGTACGATCTACGTTTACGATTAAATTTACGTTTAGCGTTAGATTTTAGCTACGAGTGTTTCACAAAGGTGATCGGTGACAGCCGCGTTAATGTCAAAAAAAGAATCTTTCTTTCAAAACCAGGAAGAAAATTCATATAATCGTAATTTGAAATGGTTATCAGTTTTTTTTTTTTGTATTGTAAATAGGTTTTGTGAGGTAATTGTCCCGTCTAGTTTAAAGATATTATTTTGCTTTTGTTTTATTAGACTAAATTGGCTGGTGGTGTTTTTTTTTTTTTTTTTGCAAACACGGTCTGTTTTTGATATTGTTGAAGAATGATGAAATCATAGAAAAAACAGACAAATTCATTTGGACTCCGGAATTTCTTGAATCCAAATCATCATGAATTTCTAAATTGTTTACATGAAATTATAAGTATCTTCAAATGCTAATTATGACTTGGTATAAAATTCATTAGGCATTGTGATAGTTTCTGATGCGTGTCTAGGTTTTTTTTTTTTAAAAGGAACCAACTGTCAAGACAACATTGAGACTTGGACATGTAAAAGGTATATGCATATTTTCATTTCTTATTTTATAATGCTATGCTATGCATTTGCTACTATGTCATCCAATGAGGAGATTAAAAAAAAATAAAAGCATAAATGTCTACGTATTTTTTTTTTTTTTTTTTTTTTTTTTTTTTGTATCTGGATTTTGAAGTTTTTCCCAAATTTCTAATTCATTTAGATGAATACGCTATAGTTTCCCTTTATTACCTAGAGATGCATAATCAAGAGACGCACAACCTACCGTGGGCTCCCTATACAATAAAAAAATATAATATTTTGACACAAAGAAAATGATATTCTTAAGATCCCAAATTCTAAGTTTTAACATGTTCTTCCAGGAGAGTATTCTTTATCTGAAGCTAAAATTCAGTGAAGGTGTGGTAAATGTCAATGAGACTATATCTGGCATATTCAAATAATAATAATAATAATAATAATAAGTTATTACGAACAAAAGTATTGAGAAATGAGAAGGAAGTATGTGAAATTTTCATGTTTTTGAAAATGGGGTCTTGAATTTATTTTTCTTTCATCAAGGTGGGGACTTTAGGATTTGAAAATTTCAGTTTTTTATACCGACAAATTTGAAAATGAAATTTTATTAGTATTAATATAAACAATAACATAATGGCAAAGTGAAATATCATATTTTTCAAATTAACCTAGTATTATAGAAATATTTTAAACGAATAGAACAAAGCAGGTATCGAGTACGGGGTTGAAACATACATTTTATACCTAAAAAACGCGAACCTGATAGAGCGCATGGCAACTGGTGTAATTACATTGAAACTATGGATTCATAACATTACATTTATGTATATAAATAATTGTGTTCTCAATTTCTGGACTGTTATTTGTTTTAAAATAATCGTAATGTATATACAAAAACGTCTATTAAATAAGGAGCACCGTCCTTCGCTTTGGTGTATAATCACAGGACATGCATTAGATAGGGTATGTTTGCTAGATAGATCTAGATAGGGTATGATTGCAATTTTAGCTTGACATATATATTTATTGTTAGCTTCATAAACTCACGTGTAAAACGTTTCTTTGACATAGATTAAAGAACTAGTAAATAAGCGTTTATAATTTTCTTATTTGAGAATATTTAGTACCAAGTTAAGTGCATGCACGACTGACGTACCAATCCCCCTTCATGAATTAAAAGCAGATGTCCCTATAGTGCTGTGTGCTAACTCAATCACTTCTCAGTTTTTATGGTCAAATATTTTGATTTTTTGGAAGTAAGGTGCTCGTTTTAGTTAAATTGAAATAAACTTATAATATATATAAAAAATTGTAAATTTACGTTTATTCCAGGAATTTAAATTTCAGTTACTTATGATTGGGACAAGATAACATGAATAACGTTGCAATTATTCTGTTCATTCAATGGAACTTTATAGTTTTCTGTAAGACAATGTAATGTTGTTGATTTTAACAAAATGTCAACAGGTTTAAAAATCGATACGATTTGACTTACGACTGCCTGCTAACACTCGATTGTTTACAATCAAACTTACGATAGTTTATAAAACGGTCAAAAACTTACGATTTGCCGTACGACCGACGTAAGATCTAAGATTGTCGTACGATTTTTTGTGAAACGATGGCATGGATAATTCTTTTATGTAGTAAACAATATAATATCAGTAATGAGTCGTAGATTTTCACCAATGTATCTACCAGCCCCATATCCCGTCTGATCTGGATCCATAACTTTGGCTAATAATTTGTAATTAAAATTTAAGAGAGGAAGAGGACGCCAGGCCATCGTTTCACAAAAAATCGTACGACAATCTTAGATTTTACGTCGGTCGTACGTCAAATCGTAAGTTTTTGACCGTTTCATAAACAATCGTGAGTACAATTTTATCGTAAGTTTGATCGTAAACTTACGAGTGTTAACTGGCAGTCGTAAGTCAAATCGTAGGGATTTAACCTGTTAAGATTTTGTTAAAATCAACAACATTACATTATCTTACAGAAAATTAAGTTCCATTGGATGAACAGAATACATGTACCCATGTTATTTTGTCCCAATCATAAGTAACTGAATTTTTTTAAATTCCTGAAATAATCGTAAATTTACCATTTCTACATTTGAGTTTATTTTAATTGAACTAAAACAGCACCTTGCTTCCAAAATTCCAAATCTTTCACCATAAAAACTTAGA